TTTTTATGTAACGGGTAAATAGATAATAAATCGATTACGAAATGACTATATATTGTTTACGGTTGCATAGACAACTGGCTCTGATTACTTTTTCTGAGAATAATGTGTAAATTTTTCAGTTAGATATTATAGATTGCTTCTGTCTGTTCATATTTCTCACTTCAACTCTGAGAAATTTTCAATTTCATTTTAGAAGTTTTAAAACAAATTCAAAATGATTGCATTTTGTTTATGTTTGCTTGATAAAACTGACTCTGAAGAATTTCTTCTGATCTGTGATGCGGATAGATTTAGTTTCATAATTTAGAGGATTCTACGTAAACATATAAATGGGTATTCACCGGGGATATTTTCTATTTTAGTTTAACATTTTCCTAGACATAATGCTCTATTTAATTAAACACAAATATTTCCTTATTGTGTTCCTCACTACTCCTTTATTTTTCCTTTTTTTCCACCTGCTTTAATATTAAATTTGTTTGGTCTCATTCATTGTCTCTTCTCTTGTGCATATTTTAAAATCCCAGACAAATATAAGCAGACTATAATGATACGTCGTTTTTCTAATTTTCTCTTTAAATTTCGCTAAGTTTAATGTTTTAGCACAAAATGTGATGTTGGAAATATTTCTTGGTTACATATTTGGATATGAGCAAGTTAACATATTAATCTCAGTTTATGATATCTCTCCATATATAAAAAAAATATTGATAATTATTTGCTCTCTAACTTCTTCCTTCCTTAGGTGCCATGTATGATTTAACTTGGATGATTTATTCTTTTTTCATTCATTACTGACTTACCAAATGAATTCAGGCATTAGGATACCATTCCTTTCTGCAGTAGACGGCTTGACAAAAAAGTAAACTACAGGACACATATTGCTATTTAACCCATAGATGGGAGGAACATGTATTTGCCTGGAAGTAAATGTAACGAAGTCGACGAGATTTCGAAACTGGCTTCCCGATTTCTCATTTCATGGCGTTATTTATCACATCACCTGTACATCCAACCTTACCGTACCTGGTAGTGTTATGCATTCACCCATCTAGGCACTGACTGAACTCAACAAGTATTAGATCCGATACTCGGACGAAACGCTTTGTCTCAGCTGTCTTTTTCATATGAATGTATCACAAATTATATATATATATATATATATATATATATATATGAAGAAATGTAGTGCTATATTTATGGGATAAAGTACTCAATATCAGAGATAGAGAGTATTAAATATAAAAGTGAACATTAAAGTCAACACTCAGAGGCGACAGACTATTTCAGGCTAGACGCAATTGTCAGGCCACGTGTGTTTTTTCTCGACTATTTATTAATACGGGTCAGTGGTGCATTGTGAGTAGTCCATTCTGAGAGTTATTTTCACAGGAGAGGTTTATTTATTTATTTGGGTTAATTTATTTTATTGTCATTTATTTGTTTTATATATTTATTTATTCTTTTCCGTTTTCGATGTTTTAGTAACGTAGTAAAAAAAAAATTGAGATTAGTTCAGATCGTTTATTTAATAGTTAATTTTGGTCTGGGAAGGTAATTAAAACTATTTTTACTGCAATTTTTGGATTGGTTGCTGTAGTCTATTCTAACTGCTATTTTGGCAGGGCAGTTTTTTTAATGTGTTTATTATTTTATTTATTTATTTTGATTTACTATTTTTACTTGTTTGTGCTTGTTTTTTTTTTTTATTCTAACGGTTTATTTAGGGAAAGCGTTTTGTTAATTTGTTTATTTATTTGGATGGATTTCTTTTACTTGTTAATTCTTATTTATTTATTTTGTATATTTTTATTTATTCTTTTCGGTTTTCGATTATTTTTTGATCGCTTATATAGCAGTTAAAGCTATTTTCTCGTCCAAATTTTGGATTGATTGTTGTAGTCTATTCTAACGGTTATTTTTTTATTTCCTTTATTTGTTCATTTGAATTGATTATTTTTGTTTTTTTTTTTCCTAATATATATATTATATATATATATAATTATTTTTTAAAAAAAATTTAACATAAGTATGTTATAAAATTACAAAAATAGCCATTTTTTTTCAACACACTCTGTGTCTTATCAATGATATATATATATATATATATATATATATATATATATATATATATATAACTGTTGATCGCAAATTCACATGAGTTCTCATGTTTCAAAACAAGAATAAAAAATTCAATATAATTATGTGAATTAAATTTAATTAAAATACTAAGCTCTGTTTCATAAAATTTCGCTTGAAGATGGAACAGAGCTTAGTACTTTAATTCAATTTAATTCAAATAATCATATTGAATTATTCGGCTCTTGTTTTGAAACATGAGAATTTTATGTAGCGTTGGAATCACATTTTTAAATAAATGATATATATATATATATATATATATATATATATATATATATATATACAGGGTATAAAAAAATTAAAAGCAATTATCTTGAAAACTAAGTCCAGCTTAAGGAAATTGAACAGTTTAAGGTTTGAACACTATAAGTTTATTAAGAGAATGATATCATAGTTTTTCAATATTTGCACCGCCTCTAGAGTCAGTAGTTAAGTTCTTGTAGCTAAGCTCTTGCCAAACACGCTGATCTCGATGAGGACCTACCAGACTGTTTAACCCTGTATAAGCAGCCTTTCCTCTAAATTTCCGGTTGGTGACGCTTTTTCCAAATTTTGCATTGAAGGCACGCTGCACAGTCTCAGGTGACTGTGTGAGAGCATATTCCAAGAAGCAAAATGATTTCTCTTTGCGAGTGAACCGCATGGCTCAACCTGAAAACAGAACAAAAATAAAACATTACATATAAAATCTTGATCTGTTTCTATACATTATGTGAAAATTTGAGATTATTTCAATTGGCCTGCATAACTGGCCTGCGGAATGATGTCCATATTTCTCTCTCTCTCTCTATCTATCTATCTATCTATCTATCTATATATATATATATATATATATATATATATATATATATATATATATATATATATATAAAAGATGTTTCATTAATACGTATTAAAGTCAGCAGTAAATAAATCAGTGATATTGGGGAAAATTTATTTATTTCTCTATTGGATCATGTTATTTAAGTCATGCCAATTATCTGTGAAAAATAATATCGCCCAAATATCCGTCAAGGCAATTACCTCCACTTGATGGTCAAAATTTTTGATGATGTCCCAGTATAACTGCTCCTCGATCTCACCAATATGTTTATTATCTGCTTTATTATTATTATTATTCCTAATTATATGCTTTTTTTTATTATGTTTAAGCCCAGCGGAGTAATGGTTAGCTGCTCGGTGTTCGAATTCCAGTCGGATCCATTAGATTCACTTACGTACTAATACTCTTGGGAACGTATGAATCCTCTTCTTCTCCTCCCAGCTGTGGGTAAAGAGCAGGACAGACTGGGTTCTATAAGCTTGAGGGGCAACCGATCTAGGAGAAGAAAAAATTCCAGTGTTGGGCTCATTCAGGCTATCGTGCAACTATTACTGCGGTTACGGGTCACAGGATAAAATAAAATGAAAAATAAAAGAAATTACGTTATCGACGAAATCATTATCTTCAATTCACATAATAATACTGCTATTTCTACGAATTCCCGTTATAAAAATCAACAAGCAATACGATTCTCTATACTGGAATTTTGGAAATTAAAACCTCGTAAGAATGAGAATGAAAACAAAAAAAGGAATGGTTTCTGGATACTTTTAGGAAAGAGATTTCCTAACAAAATCAAGAGAGTGAAATTTTCAAATACGATGAATATCCGAGTAAAAAATTGGAAATAAATAGTTGAAGATAACTTGATTAATAACCAAAGCAAAAGAAACAACTAAGGCATCATCATATTAAATGAAACGAACCAGACAAAATTGTTCTGGCTTATAAAATAATTTATATGGAAGTTACAAATTGCTACTCAAGCAATTTTCCTCAGGTTATTCAGAATTAACTTAAACGAATCTCTCCATTGCCATAATTACAGAGATGTCGAGCTGAAGAAGGCTGTTAATTTTTTCTTGCTTGGCTGCAACGGTTTGTCTCGATTTTGAAATTTCTATGTGGCTTGCATTCGCAAGGCTGACCCCATCAAGTAGAATCATTGTGAATGTATAAAATTACTTCAATTTGAAATAATTATTTTACAGTTCTTGTTTCTACGCAACACATATTTTTTTTTTTAATATTTATTCATTCAAGATTAATTGTGAAATGATTTTGAACATCAAATTAAAGAAAATTTTATATGGACTTATAGCGAAACTGTTATCTTATGTGGTAAATTCAATCGGCATACTGAGTTCAAATTTAGACCGAGTCTATTTTACTCATTTCTCAATAATGCTCTCGTATAAAATCAGGAAACCATCTTCATATAGCGAAAAGTCAAATAATAGGGTAGACATGCTTCATTTGACTTTGACGATTTCTCATCAAAAAGAATCAATTGAATTCACACGAAATAATGGGGTAGACCGATTTCTTTTCTGTTCTTATTGTAACCAATAGGAGGAGAGGAACAAATTTTAAACCAGCCTGAAAAAAGGATAGGATGCATCAAGCTATCTTGCCTTAGACACACCCACTGATGTTACGCTTGCAGTACATATTGTGCCGCAACAACTATAATAGGTTTTATTATTCCTAATCATGACTGTTTTTATACAGGTTGAAACATTTTCATTTTATCGTCAATTTGTTGTAATTTTTCATGACCTTAAATCTTCTTCTGAGAAAAACTGTTACTTCTCAAATCTCTGACATTCGTTGCTTTCTTCATCGTTTACATGGAATCAAAGCAATTATTTTTTTAGACACTTTTTTTATTGCATTTTACGGTTTAAGCGTTTATTAAACAAATATATACTTTTATAATTCTTACTTTGTCCTATATTAAGGTGTTAATTCTCATTTTAAGGCTATGTAAACCAATTCTGAGGCATTATTCAGTACACCACCCACACGTCTAACAATACAGCACATGGTATTCCCAAATGGTCACCCATCTAGGTAATGGCTAAGCTCAACGTTGCTTAGTTCCGGTGATCGTATGGGAACTGATGTTTCAACGTGGCGTGACCATAACCCTTCAAGCTATTCAAAGGTCGTGCAATGTAAAAAGACCCGGGCGTTGGCCTAAAATTAAGCAGCAACATAAATAACAAACTATTAATGGAAATGAGTCATTTAAGAAATTTCCACAAATTAAAATCTAAAATCCCTTTTTTACTGAAACTTAATGTTATTTGGAGATGTGGTAATAATTACGTCTGCTTGAAAACATTCTAGGTTAATTTGTTGTGATCATATACATATATTATTGTGCTCCTATACATATATAATTTAAAGAAACCAAGTGCATTGAAAGAATGGACATTATGTTGAATCATGATTACTTAGTATTTGTAATAAAAGTTAAATTGAAATAAAAACTTTAGACTAGACGTCATTTGATGTAGCTACTCATCATCTATCTATCTATCTGTTCTATGCTTTCTATGTTTCCCCTCCATCGCTGTGTCTATCTCTGTCGCCCTTTCTCTCTCACATACTCACTATATATATATATATATATATATATATATATATATATATATATATATATATATATATATTGTAGCGTCTTGTCGAACGTGATTTCAACGAAGAAATAAATTGAATAAACATACATATTTTTTCTTTTCTCAATAATTTTGTAGTTTTTAAACTTAATAGTGATTAAATTTGGATTTTAAAATTGCCAGTTTTTAATTTTAATATTAAATGTTATCATATAATTTTATAATTATTGGTTAGTATAAATTATTTTTAATATTACACGTATTTTAAAGATCCGAATAGCTATTATAACATGATTTCGTTGTCAAGCTTTTGAATCTTTCTATACTTGGTTTTTGATTGGTTATTCTAGCTTTTTGTAACAATGTTTCCCCCCTAGTGTAGGATCGTTAATTAATCTGAAACTTTTAAAACCATTTATTTTATCTTCAACATCATCACTTGATAAGACACAGAGTGTGTTGAAACAAAATGGCTATTTTGTAGTGATTTTCTAACATACTTATGTTATAATTTTTTTATAAATAATAATATATATATATATATATATATATATATATATATATATATATATATATATATATATATAAGATTAATATGAGTAAAAGTTTGTCACTTAACTGATTGATGTTATCTTCATCATCCCGACACCAGAGTTTCGGAGTTGACCTGTCCGTCCACTCTTCACAGGGGTATCATTTTTTAAATTTCTACCTTAAGAACCTTGTGTTCTGATATTATTTTGACGAACTTCAAATATACATGACTGTCAAGAAAGCACATTCTGTTTGTGCCCATTGATCTCTATGTGTAGACGATTAGCTTTGATTGTTCTGTTTGCATTGTAAAGTCTTATAAAATTGTTCCATCTCTTATGTCCTTAACCCAGTTTATGTAATGTTCATAACTTGTTATTGCAGGTTTCTTGACATAAATGTTTCAGACATTGCAGTGCAGATATTGGCCCACTCTGTCATGACAGGTTTTATATTCAGTGGATGCTAATAAAATTCAACCTGATACAAGATGATCCATTGTTTCGGGATATTCATCACGAAATACGCATTTGAGGTGAACACAATTTTTTCAGTATGTTTGCTTGACAATGCCTAGTTAGCAAGTACTTGTTCTGTGCAGTTGAATAAAACCTTCAGATTCAGCTTTCAAAACATCGCTACGCAACTACTGATAGATATGGGAGTTGTTTACATCATATTTGATACGGGAAAACTATTGAACTTAAAGAAGTTTATTTTGACATCCTTTCAGTAATTGAATCCTTGCATTTGAATTTGCCTTCTTTTTCGGTTCGATGTCGCTGCAGCAGATAAAATATGGTTTACTTGCTTCTTCTTCATCAACTTCAAATTCCCTTTTGAATTTGTTGCCTTCCTTAATTTCTCTACAGATATTCTTATTTCTTTCATATATTTTGACATGGATCATCATCAATTCGTCTGTAGTTTCTAGTTTTCCGAGTGCTGTCGTTATGTGAGACAGTTCTAGTTGAAATAATCCTCTGCCTCCTTTGGATCTAGACACACACATACGATCAACATCGATATTAGATTATGCATGCGATAGCTATTGTTTTGACATCCATTCATTTAATGTCATCTATGGTTAAGTAAAGGATATTGAAACTGTATTACACCACAGAGACAACCAATGTTTTCATGGCTGATATTGTTATTAATAGTAATGGCATTTTCCAACAAGACGCGTAAAACTGAATGGGACTTTGTCGACTCAAATTACAATTATCGTTTGTACCTCACACATACAAGCAACCTGAGAACTGTGAAGACATTCTAGAATATGTAATTCAGTTAATCTCTTTCTTTTTAGGATTTTTCACCAACTATTATGTGCAGTACCCTAAACAGCGTGTCAATTGTTGTGTATCTTTCTGTTTTACCAATTTGTCCACAACTATATTTTCCGGATCGTTATGTTTTCCTTATTTGCGTATATCTCATCTGCTTTTCTTGGGTTTTGTCTGGATATCAATATTCCAGAGTATTTCATGATTTTTATTTACCTCGATAGTTTTCTTTTTATTTTGTGATGGTACTGTTTAAATCAGTCAGTTATCTGTCGTACATGATAAAGGTTTGGACGATCATGTCTCTTTCAATACATGACTGAGTAGACAAAAGATTTTCCCGCAGTATATTGCCGTTCTTTTCTGAGTAGACGCTTTCCACCCAAGGCTATAGTACCCAATCTGTCCTGCTATTCAACCTATAGAAAGGGTTGGAGATGGAGTCATACCTTACCCTTGGTTATGTACGCGTAATTAAATGTAACGAAACCGACTCGATCTCGACCCTTCGATTTCGCCGAAGAGTTTGTCTATTCTGTAATTGACTTTTAATTTTGAGCAGTTTTTTTTTACGCTCGTACAGGGTTTAGCTGGCCATTTGATTAATTACCTAATTTACCGTTTCATTTGTTTTTCCACAGAGTGAACATTTACTTTTGCAGGTTGCTTTTGTTTTTATTATTATTGTTATTATTATTTGGCAATTTTCAGGAATTTAAGTAACGTTCTGTGTAGGTGGTTATGACCAAACAGAGTTCAGCTTATGGAATCAGAAATTTGCTTATTTATCAACGGTACAAGTTTATTTTTTTCTTTTACTTTTTGGGGCGAAGTTAATGAGCCAATGTATCGAATAACTATTTCATATGGCAGACAACTCGGCGCTCGCTGCTCAGCCAACTGGGGTAAAATATTTTCCCTAAACTCCACCTGTTCTTTTCTATATGTTAACTACCGTACGTATGAATACAAATGGATATGTCTCAATCCTCATAAATACGTTGGACACTGTTGTAAGTGAGGGTAATGTACTGTCTGAGCCGTCAGCGTGAACTGTCAACGTGGAAAGCTCTTGCCATGTCCAAGTCTGCCTTCGGGCAGAGAGATACCCAGATGAGGCTATGCCAAAAAGCAGTCTCGTCCGAGGAGGTAGACAGATCCAGCGTATGTGGGGTCTACAGGCAATTTTTGCCCGAGCCTCCCGGGCTCGGATTTCCCAACATTAAGTTTGGCCTTGTGCCGCAACATACCTCGTGGGGAGGGAGGAAAATATCGCAATATGCTGTCTATGTAGTCCCCCCACTAGTAGTGGTTTACGTACTTCAAGCTCAAGTATTGTATTTTGTTGATGTTATAAAGATCGCCATTTCATTTCCATCTCCGTTTTGGTTATTCCTCATTCAGTTACCCTTTCTAGTTTACAACACAGTATTTGATAGAATTACTTTGATTGATTTCGTTTTGCGGCATATCCACCTTTATAGGTTAATTAATGCCGAAATCGAAATATTTTGAAAGCAATTTTTTGGCTTCAGCTAAATATATTTTGAGCTCAGCTGTATGCCTCAACTAAAGATAAAATGTATTGTTAGTCATTTTGCTTTAAAAATGTATTGTTGATTATGTTACTATGTATAAGTATTGTTGGTAATTTGTTAATGTTAAAATGCATTGCTGGTATTTTTACTATAAAAATGTATTTTTATACTTTCATAGATTTTTTTAGTGTTCACTATTTGCCAGTGGCTGCGACCATAACAGGTGATACCATCCCAGATGAAGATGTTTCTAGGTTCAACAGAAATTAAAAGGGTTTGTTAGAATTGGTAAATGTTGAAAAGTTTAGGTGGTATAAATATTGGAAAACAAACTATAAATCTGTAATATTTTTATAAGTTAATCTATCTATCTATCTATCTATCTATCTATCTATCTATCTATCTATCTATCTCATTCTGTTCACATCTATCTATCTATCTATCTATCTATCTATGTATCTATCGCTGTCAGTGAGTTTATCTATTTATGATTTTATTTTAAATCATTTCATCCCAGGTAATGCAATAGAATCACTAATACGTAATGGAATTGCTGAATCTGAAAGAATACAAAAAAAAAGCAAAAAAAGAAAACATTAATAATGAATGTGAACAAAAAAGAACAGCATTTAAGAGAAGAAGATAACAATTTATATTACTGCAAGAGAAGTCTACAAATAATGTTTCGGCCGCTGTACACTCCGGCCTGCTTCAAGCCTCTTCCACGCTTTGGTTAATCACATATGCAGCCTGTTATTGAACACACTACTCTTTCGGTCAAATTAATGGATCTAACCAATATCTTTATCTACTGGGCCACCTGACATTGAGACATCCGCAAGAGGCATGACACGTGGAATTAGAACAATCTACCCCAGTGGAGGAAATAAAGGGTTCGGTTCGAAATTCCCATCATCTTAAGGAGGTTGGAGCGTAACGGCCGAAATATTGTGTATATGGCAATGAAGAATCTGATAACAGTCCGAATAATGTAAATAATGCAAGTAATCATAATGCCTCATCTCAGAGATATACTCAGATATTCCACAAACAAGTGCTATAGAAGAAACTGCTATCAGAGAATTAACGGTTACATCTAAACTTTTCGACTTCAAAATGATTTAATTTCGTCGATATATAGAAAGGTGCTTAATTCATTGA